ATTACAGGGATTCAGCTGGCCTTGGAAAAGGTCTAAGCTTCTTTGAAAGGCAGCTGTAAAATAATCCAAACAGCTTGTGAACCTTGGGCTTCCCAGGTAGGATTGCCTGTCCCAAGATAATCTTGCTTAGGTTTTTGGGCCTTGTAGGTAGAAAAATAAAATAGCTTGTAGGTAGAGAGAAAGAAAAGAAAAAGAAAAAGGAGTGCAGGCAAGAATTCTGTCCTTGCCAAGAGCAGCAAGCTGAAGAGACTGCTCTGTGGACACCAGACACCATACCTACAGAATGTTTTTGGACGGGAGCCTTTGCTAATAACCCTTCTAATTTGCATTCAGAGGAAACGTGCCCTATTTTCCACAACAGGCAGTCCAGCCAACACCACCAGGAGGGAGGAAGCTCTCTTCTCAGTGTCTGTCGGTTTATCCCTAAATGCTACGGAAATAGCAGCTGCCAGGGTAAGGGGAGTCTTTTAGCTCTTGAGCAAGCTGGATATCACCATCATGACCTAAAAAGGCAAGGATGAGATCGGATGCTTGCTGTGGATGCAGCCTGCACACAGCAGCAGGATATGTCGACACTTGGGCCATTTTTTAAAGAAGTCAGTCCAGTCAGGCCAGCCACAGGCTCCATCAGCAAGTGACAATGAATACATTTCGCACTGCCTTATGGTTTACAGAATATACGCACGTGAGCTGGTATCGTGTGACCGTCCCAGCCCTGTTCATTGTGATCTCCTTTCACAAATATTGCAAACAGGCTCAGAGGATCAGTGACTCACCCAGTGTTAGAGTCCAGGGCCAGACCTGCAGGCCAGGTCTTCTGCAGATGTTTCCCACCCCAGGCTGCCTGAGTGTCACATGGGCACACGAGTCAGGTCCCGGTGCTCACCAGTGCGGAGAGAGAGCTGGGGGTGAAGCATCTCATTCTGCCATCCTAGGCGGGCTGGACAGAGGTGTTATTTCTCATGAGGCTGATCCCTGGCTACCTTAAGAAAGTGGGGAGCTGGTGGAAACAAAGAATGGAAACTAGGTAATGACCTTGAAGCCAAGTTAGTGGAAGTGCTGCAAAAGATTTTCCACTGTTGAGAGGAACATCAGACTTCCCAAAAAGGTTTCAGTGCAGAATGCCTACCCAGTTAGTTATTAAGGAAACAGGATTAACTTAGTGCGTACAGGAGAGAAATCACTTGGCAGTCACACGGAAAAGGAGGCTGTGATCGGAATGGTATAGAGAAGGGAAAGTCAACAGGACAGAAATCCAGAGTACAAAGAGGGCTCCAAGTCAGAAGTAGAACATTTTATGCACATTTACAGAGAGGTTTCAACTGCAGCTGGACAGGCCAGAACCTGGCTCAAAACTCCCGCATTCTACTCTTGTGCATGGCTTCCCTAGACTGCCAGGGAAAGGGCGCGTGTTCACCAGAGAGGGCAGTTGCTGGGAGGGGAGCCCAAGGTACACGGGCTTGCTAAATCTTTCCTATAGTCCATTCTGTTTTCTGTCAGCAGTAAGAAAATACATTCTAGCAAATGACATCCAGTAATGCTTTAATTAACTGCAGTATTTTGTGCTCCAGTGTGCAACAAGAAATCACTTCCAGATGGGAAAAGGAAAGAAATTTACACAAAAAAGCTATCTTTTTATTTTAAGGAAATGTATATCTCCCAAAAGTAGAAAACTTTGAGGGTCCAAGGGGCTATCTATTTTGATAAATACTAGGGCGAGCCTGGAAATTTTTATTTAATATAGAAAATGCAATAGTACTCTTAATGTATGCCAGCTTTTCACGTAGTCATGTTTCCAAGGCTATGGCCTAAATAGCCCAATGCAGTTCAAATATTTTATTTTTAGGAATCTGACTTGAGTAGACAAGAAGTGTGAACCGCTTGCCTTCACCCTTAAGCAAGCTAGTCATTTTGAGTGCTCTTCCTGGGGAGAGGACTCGCATTTCCAGCAGTGCACTTCTGGCATCTGCCCTGCATCAGGCAGCAGCCGTGAACCTGTGCGGTCGCCCGGTCTGCCCCGTGATAATTCACTGGTCTTGTCTGCTTCTCGATCCTGTGCGATCTAGGAGCCACCCCAGACATTAAAAATCACCCCTTCTGGGCGGTGGGCAGAGTCCTGGGCACAGGCTTTGTTCTGTGAGAGAGAAAGGAATAGTGATGACTTCAATCCCAGAACTGACTTTGGAGGGCAAAACATTCTGTCCACTGTGGCTCCTGTCTCATGGTGGCAGTTTAAGCAGAAATTCCTCCAGCCTGGGCACCTCTAAGCTATCATAGAAGTCTGTACAAGATAAGAGCAGCAGCAAACTCTTTATTGATTATAAATTACCAATATTTATTTTGTTATTATTATTTTTTGCATTGAAGTCTCATTCTGCCGCCCAGGCTGGAGTGCAGTGGCACATGCACAATCACCACAGCCTCGACCTGCTGGGCTCAGGTGATCCTTCCACCTCAGTCTTCCAAGTAACTACAGGCATGCGCCACCACACTTGGCTAATTTTTTGATTTAGTGTAGAGATCAGGTCTCACCAAATTGTCCAGGCTGGTCTCGAACCCATGGGCTCAGGCAATCCTCTCACTTCGGCCTCCCAAAGTGCTGGGATTATAGGCGTGACCCACTGCACCCGGCCACCAATATTTATTTTAAACACAAAGTGATTTCAAAGTTATTTTTTGTTTTTTGGTTCTTCAAGGGGCTAGAGAAAGTGGAGTGGGGAAAGGAATGGGCACAATATCTAAGTCTGGTTGACTCACAAGAGTGACTAGCCACTGCTTTTATCAATGGATGCTTCTTGTACATTTTGAGGTGGCATTAACAAATAAAGCTTCTGATGGGGTTTGGTCATAAAAACAACAAGAATCCTAATCAGAACGGGGAAAGCCCGACTCTTGGCATGGTCCCACCATTAATACAGTTTCAAAGGGGAGCTGCTAGATCTGAGCAAAGAATCTTCACCACGTTGGTACCAGCTCAAGTGCACAGTAGATAAAACTGCTTAGAGAATCAGAAAAACACACATTTATGAACACGTGCTACAGAAACCCTTCAATAAAGTGCATGTCTGTCTTGCAATGGCTTCCAACAAGGAGTAAACATCATAATCACCTATGAAACTCTTAAACCTGTATCCAGGCCCCTTTCCAGACTTACTGACTCAAAATCTCCAGGCATGTGTACTTTTTAAAAGGCCCCCAGGCGATTCTGCTGCATACCCCCGGCAGAGAAACATGCTCTGTCTTTACAGGATGCACACACAGCTTTCAGCCCCCATCAGCGAGACGTTTAACATAACTCCTACTGACATCTGTTGGCTCCTTGGGGATTACTGACAATGTAATAAATCAAGAAAGCAACTTCCCTGGCTGTGACCACCAACCGTGGAAAACAGCAGCTTGACATCTCAATGCCGTTATGGAGACGTCCAGAAAACGACTCCTCACAAATGAACCAGAAGAGAAGTGGAGATCTGTAAACACCAAGAGTGACAAGAACCAGGTGCAGGAGGCCACTGGCTTTCCCAGCTCTCCTAGGTTGATGACGGACGGCAGGGTTGGCTGTGCTGTGTGGAGGTGGGCCCACCGCCTTTCTTTTCGATTACACCCTACCAGAGCAATGTGATGGCCCAGGGGAATCCTCCACTGAGCTTCCCGGTGCTCTCCCAATCCCCACCACACCCTCCCTGCCTTGTCTTGTTCAGAATCTTTCCCTAACAGAGCTCAACTGAAGGCCGCACTTCTTTCTTTCACAATTTATTTTCCTCTCCGTGTTCCCGGATTGAGATGCCCAATACGCGAGAGTCATAACGACCAGCAAGAACAGGCTGGAAGCTGAAAAAGAAGTGAGGCCTAGGATCAAAGCTGAGCCTGACAGATGGACTCAGGGAGACTGTGCGTGGCTGCGCGAAGCTGTGGTGATGGGCAGGGTAGGCACAGTGCAGAGTGGGTTACACTGGGAAAACAAGGTGGAGACGACAAATCGATGTCTCTGGGCAGATTTTCAAACCTTAAAGTTCCCTTCTGTATGGCTGTCTGTTCTATGGATTTTCAGAAAAATTCCTCTGTCCCCAAAACTCATTTCTGAGAACTGCTTAACAGTCCAATTTTATCCTGAGGCTGACTGTGCACTCCCTGTTAGAGAGCTCAACCTTCCTCCTCAGCACTTCCTCTGCCTGACCAACAAGTATCACTCCTTTTTTTTTTTTGAGTTGGAGTCTCACTCTGTCACCCAGGCTGGAGTGCAGTGGCACGCTCACAGCCACCGCAGGATAAGATCTGCTGAGCTCTGAAGATCCTTCTTCCTCAGCCTTCCACGTAGCTGGAACTACAGGCCTGCACCACTATGCCCAGCTAATTTTTTTTTTTTTTTTTTTGAGTTGGAGTCTCACTCTGTCACCCAGACTGGAGTGCAGTGGCCGCTCCCAGCCACCGCAGCCTCGACCTGCTGGGCTCCGGCCATCCTTCCGCCTCAGCCTTCCAAGTAGCTGGAACTACAGGTGCGTGCTACCACGCCCAGCTGATTTTTTGATTTATGGTAGAGATGAGGTCTCGCCAAGTTGCCCAGGCGGGTCTCGAACCCATGGGCTCAGGCAATCCACTCACCTCAGCCTCCCAAAGGCGTGGGATTACAGGCTGAGCCACCGAGCCTGGCTTTAATTTTTTGATTTATTGCAGATATGAGGTCTCATCAAGTTGCTCAGGCTGGTCTTCAACCTGTGGGCTCGGGCAGTCCTCTCACCTTGGCCTCCCAAAATGCTAGGATTATAGGCGTGAGCCACTGCACCTGGCCACAAGTATTCTTCTTGAACATAAGCTGACACTAACAGTGGCTTTCCTGTGGCTGTGGTCATGGTTAACTGAGGCTTGGTGCAAGAGAACCAAGCAAATCAGGGCAGCCACCTGACATGCTACCCATTCTCCATATGGAGGATGATGCGAGAGCACTGAAGCAGAACGTCCTCCAGCCTGGGCACCTCTAAGCCAGCTATAAGAGACATCTATTCACGATAAGAGCAGCAGCAAACTCTTTATTGATTATAAATTACCAATATTTATTTTAAGCACAAAGTGACTTCAAAGTTATTTTTGTTTTTTGGTTCTTCAAGGGGCTAGAGAAAGTGGAGTGGGGAAAGGAATGGGCACAATATTTAAGTCTGGCTGACTCACAGGTTAGCCGCTGCCTTTAAGCTTCATGCTGGGCTGTGCCAGTTCTGAGCCTGGGGTTTAAGGTCAGCATTCTGTTTCTAATGTATCCACAGACCCAGGTTCTTGCTCATTCATAGTGTGCCACTAGGGTACTGCACATCTCTTTTGCTGTTTCAGATGACTCCAGAAAGTACTTTGGACTTGAAAATGAATGGGTAGAAAGGGAATTAGAGGGTACGGGCCTCCTGGGTTTTCCATAGTTTCATCTGAGGAGGAAGCCTAGGAAATGCTTTCCAAGAGAACATTCTGGTTTCCCTTTCTGGTTTCCCGTTCTGATTCAGAAAGCAATCTCTTCCCTAGAAGTCAGGAGCAGAGTAGAAAAAAAGAAATGGAGAAAACAATCTGCTCACATAACCCAGTGTATGTGCTGGGTACAGCCCTCTCTTCAAGTCAGATCTAGGTCTGCCCCACTCCTAGGTCAGGAGTCCCTGGCAGACAGGACACCTGCCTGTAAGGTCTGGCACATACAACCCTCCTGGGGGAGAGACAAAAAGCATCTCTTCTTTGGAGATTACTGAGAAATGGGGAGAACTTGGCCAAGTCATGGAAAGTACCAGAAACAAACATGTACCAGGAACCTGAAAGCGTACACATGCCTCCATTAAGAAGGGCTAGCTTCCTACACCTGCAATGTGCCCCGTTATTAGTGCAGGTTCCAAAGCCAAACCAAGATGGGGAGAAAAACTCAGCATTCTGGCTGCCGAGGTGACCTCTAACAGTAGCACAGGGAGGAGGGGTGAAGTCCAGGCTTCCTCATCCAAGCTGGGTGGATAGGTGTGTGGTGGAAAGTATGGCCCATGTGTCAGAGGGTGTGACTGCCATGGCGTGGCTGCATGAGTCAACGACAATCCCCCCAGTCAAGGGCAGCCCAAGAACAGCAACTGAACCACAGGGACCTTTCACTCACTGCTGCTCCTGCTTCAGGAATCAGACATAATCTAAACTGCCTTTTTATAATCCAGTCTTTGCTCAGCGTTCCTGATTAGGACAAGATTTAAGACAGGGCATGGAAGAGACAATTAACAATCCAAATGTCCCAGAGAGTTTGAAGATCTGAGAGTCCCAGGGAACACAAGAGAGGTTGGGGGCTTCCAGGAAATGAGGTGCTGAGGGTCATCAGGAAAAGAAGAGTGCCCCTGCACACTCCTACAGGCGCTTTTTAATGAGTTTCTCGAGTTTGCGGATGCGAGATGATTCCTGTTCTGGTGTTGGAGCCATCAGGGACAGTGAGCCAGAGCCTTCGGCTCCTGAGGGCGGGGTGGGAAGCCTCTGGCGGAGGAGTTCCAACATGCTACTCTGCTCGCTTCTCTTCAGCCCCTGAGGTTTGAAAGAGAAAGAACAGTCATGAAGTCTGGGCCACAATGTCATGGAGGGGAAGTGCAATATCTGGGCATGCTGTTAGCTGAGGCTCTGCGCACAGCACCATTACTCTCGGCTGGATGAACACCTTCCTCAGGGGAATTACCAGCCCTGGATATCGCCTAGCAGTAAAACAGATGAAGAAAAAAGATCTTAGGACAGGAGAGAAAGAAGGGTTGAGAGAATAAAGGACAGGTAAAGACGGTGGGAAAGGACGGTCACCTCCTGCTCTTCATTCCACTCCCTCCACCCCACCCTCCCCTGAGCAGTGGGTCTCAGTGGGGCCTGGAGGTCCTATCAGGATCCTCAAGTTCATATGCCCAGGACCATCCTCCAAGTATTTCTCGGAGTCCAGTTTGCAGTGTGGGGCCAGGCACATGTGTTTTGAGAAAGCACCCCAGGAACCTATGTCCCACCCTCCAACTAAGGACTGTTGAGTGTGAGAAGGATGAGCAAGTGTGGAAAGAACAAGACACTGAGTTCACCTTCATGTCCAGTATCTTCTGGAAGGTTTCTGTGTTGCAGTCTGTGAGGAGTTTAATGTAGTTGTCAACAAACACCACCAGCGGTTCATGAGGGGCCATCACTACCTGCCAAGGGAGGAGATAGAAGCAGGCCCTCAGGGACAACTCGCAGTGGCAGGACAGGGTCACCACTCCTCGCTTGACAGCGGAGCATTAAATGGAGGCTGCAAGAGTTCCTCAAGCAGCAGCAACCCCACACTCAGAAGCACCTAATGGCCCTCCACCTTCACATCCAATCAGAGCAATGCTTCTGCATTTTCTGAATCCTACCTATCAGCTGAGTGCTGTCCCTTCTCTAAAGATTCTAATTCAGTAGGCCTGGGTGACTCCCAGGTAATTTTTAAAACATCAGGACTGGCCAGGTGCAGTGTCTCACACCTATAATCCCAACACTTTGGGAGGCTGAGGTGAGAGGCCTGAGCCCTCACATTCAAGACCAGCCTGGGCAACTGGTAAGACCTCATCACTACAATAAATCAAAAAATTAGCTGGGCTTGGTGGCACGTGCCTATAGTTCCAGCTACTTGGAAGGTTGAGGCGGAAGGATCACCTGAACGTGCCACTTCACTCCAACCTGGGCGACAGAGTGAGACTCCGACTCAACGCCCCCCCCAAAACAAAAAAACCACATCAGGACCATTTGGGAAACACTGTGCTAAAGGGTCTCCTGTTTGAGACATTTATGCTCCTTCCATCTTGACATGGCATTATTCCTGAGAAATGGGTGGCAAAGGAACTCATGTAAATGGATTTTTTCAAAAACAAAAATCCCAAAGCTGCCTCACTCTTTTGAAGACCTAAAATCTGGAACTTAATTTAACTACATTTATTTGTTTGTTTGTTTACCTCTGTTGCCCAGGCTGGAGTGCAGCGGCACCATCCTGGCTCACTGCAGCCTCGACCTCCTGGCATAGGTAGTCCTTCCACCTCAGCCTCCGTAGTAGCTGGAACTATAAGCAAGTGCCACCACGCCCAGCTAATTTTTTTGTAATTTTCCTGCTATGTTTCCCAGGCTGGTCTCAAACTCCTGGGCTCAAGCAATCCACCTGCCTCGGCCTCCCAAAGTGATGAGATCACAAGTGTGAGTCACCATGCTCGGCCTAACTACAGTTACTTAAACTATCGATTATTTCCATTTGGTTTTAGAGTGCAGTATCTGACTTTCTTCCCCCAGCAGACTGATTTTGTTTTGGAGTTCTGAGAGTATACTCAAGAGTGGGGAGGAGTGGTCCACTCAGCACTCCTCTGCAGACCATCCCGAGCCATATGCTCTACTTCCCAGTGAGGAACCTGCAGGGAGGAAAATGTCCAGGTTGCTTCTGGTTTTCTCAGGCCATAAGCTCAAGGATTGTGCAGTGTCCCACCTGGTCCCACCAGTGTCTGAGGCCCACTGCTGCTTTTTACTCCTGCCATCATTTGAGTCATTCTGTTTGGGAAACAGGCCTGAAGAACCAGCAGGCCCTGGACTTTTAAGACCACATCACGACAGCGTCATTTGTCCTCTAGCCTTCACCGCCTCTTCCATATAGGCCCCCTCTCTTCTCAACAAACAAAGGTGGAAATCAGATGCAGATGCTCAAGGCTTCAGACATCATTACCCGAAGTACAATATTTTGTTAAATGGGGTTTTTAAAAACCCATTTGCCAATTAGATTCAGTTACTACAACATCTGTTCAGAGTTCATTTAAAGTTACAGAGTATAGAAAGCCAAAAAGGCTGACGTGGAAGGGAGTAACTGATGGCTGGATCCGAAATCCTTGCAGAGAAGTAAAGGGATCCTGACTTACACACTGCTTCACAGCAGTGACTCCACCTAATTTCCAGTCTTGGTCAAGTCTATAACAAAAGGGTCCCACGACAACAAAAAATTCATTTGTCAGAAAGACTTACTGACCCCCAAGTAACTGTCCACTGACTTTCCACAATATCAAAATTCACGCCAGCCAAAGAATGGGGGACAACCCTTGGAACTGGTGGGGACAGTGCTTTCAAAAACAAAACTCCTGGGAAAAAGCAATCAAAAAGCCTCTTCACAGAATCCCCAAGACGCAAACCATCACCTTGAGGATCATCTCAGCCCGGGTCATGCCTTTCACAACAATCTTCGTGTAACTGGCAGGGGCTTTCCTCACCACCTGTGAGCCGATGGAGGGGAGATCAAGCAGGACCATCTTCAGGGAGTGCGTGTCCAGCAGCAGCTGTGGAGTGAAGCAGAGTGTTACTTGCCACCTCCCAGGGATCTAGCATCGAGGGGATCCAAGCTGATTCACAACATTTTCCTGGTTATACATACAATACACTTTCATTGCAGAAAATTTGGAAAATAGCTGCAGTTAAATGCAGGTTAATTCCTGTCAATCTGTGTAAATATAGAAAAACTAAATCAGAATCATACCGTAGGTATATACAGTTTATAACCTGGCTTTGCCACTTAATATATGAAGTTCTTGTATTTTATTTTCTCATATTGGCACTCTTTTGTTTTGTTTTGTTTTTTGAGTTGGAGTCTCACTCTGTCGCCCAGACTGGAGTGCAGTGGCAGCTCCCAGCCACCGCAGTCTCGACCTGCTGGGCTCTGGCGATCCTTCCGCCTCAGCCTTCCAAGTAGCTGGAACTACAGCCGTGCGCTACCACGTCCAGCTAATTTATATTGGCATTCTTTTAAAAAATCATGTTTTTTTGTTGTTGTCATTGGGGTCTTACTCTGTCACTCATGCTGGAGTGCAGTGGTGTAATCACAACGATCATGGCTCATTGCAGCTTCAACCTAGTGGGCTTAGGTGATTCTTCTACCTCAGCTTCCTGAGAAGTTGGGTCTACAGATGTAGGCCATGATGTCCAGCTAATTTTTTGATTTCTTGTAGAGATGAGATCTTGCTATGTAGCCCAGGCTGGTCTTGAACTCCTGGGATCAAGCAATCTGCCTGCCTCAGTCTCCCAAAGTGCTGGGATTATAAGTGTGAGCCTGTGCCTGACTGAAAAAAAATTCATGATTTTTAGCTACTGCACTCCAGCCTAAGTAACATAGTGAGACCCCATCTCAAAAAAAATCATGATTTTTAATGGGTATACAGTATTTACTCTATGGTGTGTGTGTGTGTATAAACTTTTGGATCTTTCCAAATAGAATGTGTCTATTTACATATCTGCCAGCAGTACGGACTGTACCCTTATCAATACTGACAAGTGTCATAAAATCTTGCTTACTTGTTAGGCAAAAAATAGTAACTCATTGCTGCTGTATTTTAATTGATCTGGATACCAGTGAGGATGTAGATTTAACCAAATTTAAACACTGTATCTTGGCAACAATCCTCTTTTTTCTATTTGTTTTTGTTCTCCGGGATGCCAATTATCTAGAAGGATGCCAGCCTTCCTGACTGCCTACCAACTGCCAGGAGTGGTGCTAGGAATGTTTCATCACTTTTTAGTCTTCATAAGGCCCCGCCTTGCAGGTTATTTATTGTTTCCATGTTATAGACAAGAAAACTCAAAGTTCCAGAGGTTTTTTTTTTTTGAGTTGGAGGCTCACTCTGTCACCCAGACCAGAGTGCAGTGGCCGCTCCCAGCCACTGCAGCCTCGATCTGCTAGGCTCTGGCGATCCTTCCACCTCAGCCTTCCAAGTAGCTGGAACTACAGGCGCGCGCTACCACGCCCGGCTAATTTTTTGATTTATTGTAGAGATGAAGTCTTGCCAAGTTGCCCAGGCGGGTCTTGAACCTGCGGGCTCAGGCAATCCACTCGCCTCAGCCTCCCAAGGCGTGGGATTACAGGCTGAGCCACCAAGCCCGGCTAAAGTTCCAGAGGTTTAATAACTTGCTAAACTTATCTCATATAATGCACGGGGTTAGATGATAAGGTGGACAGGAAGCAGTAAATCCACTCCTTGCTGCCCAGTTACATTCCCCCAGATGGCTCTGGCTTAGAGCTCACACTGATTTCTGCTGACTGCCCTGCTGCTGCTGCTGCTCCTGACAGCCAGGTGGCATAGAAATGGCCAAAGCCAGAAGGGTATACTCTGGCCTGTTCATATGGTTTAGGAGCATAGAATCACACGGGCATCAGACAGACAAAGGTTCCACCGCCATCACTAAACTCCAATGATAACGGTCACTCATGTTTAGGACAAGGTTTGCTGTCTCTCCCACTGCCTGCTCCTCTTGGAAAGCCTTTCATAATTATATCAAGCAGGCAAGGAATGGGATTCCTTCAGGTCCCACGACACTTTGATCCTCCAATTTTCCATTTACTTTGGTTTGGACAGGATTAATGACTAAAGATAAGCTAATTAATGGTGGACACTATTAGCTTAATGGTTATGGTGGCTATCATTTTGACAATGGTAAAAAATTGGGGGAAGACATCAATGTTTTATTTGGAAGATCTTAGATGGAAATATTACTCTCAAAAAGTGGTAAGAAATTATACTAAGGACCGAATAATCATAAGGAAATAAATGTGGCTAGTCAAAGGCCTAAACTACGCAGGCTATTCAATTGCAGGTCAGCAAAGTGTCAGGGCATTTTGGATCTTCCTAGAGTTTCCAGAAATAAAAATTCCTACTACTCTAGAGTCTAATTTTTGAAAAAGCTGTGGCTTACAGAGAAGGGTATATGAGCATCCAGGGGAGAGAGTGGCACAGACTGCCCGAGGCCCATGGTAGCACACTTCCAGAGCTCCACTGGAAATGACCACCACTCTTCCTCAGAGGAAACCCAGTACACACCTCTAAAGGATAAATATGCTCAGTTCTAGGTGGATTAAAACTTTAGCTATAGGCCGGGCACTGTGGCTCAAGCCTGCAATCCCACACTTTGGGAGGTTGAGGTGAGAGGACTGTCTGAGCTCAGGGTTTGAGACCAGCCTGGACAACTTGGCAAGACCCCGTCTCTACGATAAATCAAAAAATTAGCCAGGTGTGATGGCACACATCTGTAGTTCCAGCTACTTGGAAGGCTGAGGCGCAGACCTGAGCCCAGCAGGTTGAGGCTATAGTGGTCGTGAGCTTGCCACTGCACTCCTGCCTGGGTGACAGTGAGACTCTGACTCAACAAAACAAAACAAAACAAAACAACCTAGTTATAAAAAGAAAAAATTTTTAAAAATCTCTAAAATTCTTAGAATATAGAGATTATTTTTATTGCGTATAGGAGGAGACAAATATCAAATATGGGGAAGAATGAAAAACTTACTACCCTAAAATAAAAGAAATCTATATCAGAAGACACAAACAAAGTAAAAGACGAGATACAAATCAGGAGAAGGTATATGCAATATTGACAAAGGAATGATATTTAGAACACATAAACGTTCCTACAGATCAATTAAAAAAAAGACCAACCAATCCAACAACGATGACAACAGTGGGGCAAAGAGTATGAACAAAAGAGGAAATTCAAATGCCCAAAATGCATGTGAAATTATAATACACCTTCATAGGAACTGGGAAGTGCAAATTAAAACCACAAATGCATAACATTCCATACCCATCAGGTAGTCAAAAGTAAAAAGGTTGATAACCAAGAGTTGGCATGGATCTGGCATTAAAATTCACACTCATGGCAAGGTATAAATTAGTTCAAGCACTTTGGGGGAATTTTATTAATATCATCTTAATTAATCAAAGATGCACATAACCCATAACATAACATTTATACTTATATTCTTTAGAGAAATTCTTGTCCATGTAAAAAAAAAGTTCCTGCATTTGCTGTTTATAAAAGCAAAAGATTGAAAACAACCTAAATGTTCATCAACAGCAGAATAAATAAACAAATGGTGGCATATTCATGCAATGAAATATGATATTGAAATTAAAATAAATGAGTGGGATCAATATGGATAAATCTCAAAAAACATTAAGTTGGGCAAAAAAAAGGTGGGGAAATATATGTATAATACCATTTACATAAAGTTTAAAGATAAGCAAAACAAATCACATGTCATTTGTGAATATATACAAACATATCAAAACACATATGAGAATGATAAAAATCAAAATCCAAAGAGTGTTCACCCTTGGGCACAGAGGAAGGGGTGGGCTTAGTGGGGTCCATGGGAGGGGGGCTCGGCAGTAACTGTAAAGATTTACTGTAACATAAAAACGACCTAAAGCAAATGTGGGCAGATGTTCCAGATTTTACTGAGCTGAGTGGTGAGATGGTTTTCTTTACATTATTTTCTATAATTATATTAACTGAAAATATTTTTTCTTTTCTTAAGTATGCCATTTGAGGCCTAGCAAGGATTCAACTTTGTCTTCCATGTAGCAAATTCTGAGAGCCTTGTCAAAATCAAAGCCATCTTTCAGTATGTATTTGTTGGCAGAAAAAAAAAAAAAGATTATGTTTTAAAACATATGGGAATACTTCCTATTTTTTTCTACATTTTCTATTTCCCAGAGATATATTATATGCATAAATAATTGTATAGTCTTAAGTGACAGGAAGAGTTCTGAATGAGCCAGACATAATTCTCTAGTGTCTCCCATATCTAGGGAGATATGACACTTTCATTCTCTGGCCAGTCACAATAAAATTCTATCTTTACCAGGCAGCTGAGAAGATGAGAACCTTGGTCTCAGGTTTTACATAAAGCAATGCAGTCAGAAAAGGCGGGAACTCTACTCTGGCAGATTTAGCAGCTGTGGGAAATAAAGATAAAATATTTTATTTGTCATGAAAATCTGCTAGTTTTCATCTTTGAAAACAGCTCATGGTTAATCTCCTTGGGCATGAGGCACTGGACGAGAGGTAGCCATAACCAAATTTGTGACTCAGAGATAATTTGTGGGGTGCTATGGGCTGCCTGATGTTGCTGATGGGCTACTGGGGTGCAAGGATGGCCAGTATGCCGGTGACAGTTCATCACCAGCAGTGGAAACCTTTGAGAGGGACTTCTTATTTCTTTTCTTTTTTTTTTTTTTTGAGTTGGAGTCTCACTCTGTCGCCCAGACTGGAGTGCAGTGGCCGCTCCCGGCTACCACAGCCTAGACCCGCTGGGCTCCGGCGATCCTTCCGCCTCAGCCTTCCAAGTAGCCGGAATTACAGGCATGTGCTACCACGCCCAGCTGATTTTTTGATTTATTGTAGAGATGAGGTCTCTCAGTTGCCCAGGCGGGTCTCGAACCTGCAGGCTCAGGTAATCCACTCACCTCGGCCTCCCAAAGTGCTGGGATTACAGGCTGAGCCACCGAGC